AAAAATATGCTATTTTTAGCTCAACATTTCTGAAGGAAAATTTGTACTCAATTCTCAGAAAATACATCCCCCCCCCAAGTGGAAGGAAGTATGAGTTTTAAAGTATATCTAGAATTATTTTAGAAAACCCAGTTGAGAAGTTTCATTTTCTTAATACTGATTAAACTCGATTTAAGTGAGATTTCTCCAGTTATTCTGATGATACTGTTATCATCAACAAAAGAGATGATTTACTTTGAAATAGGAATGGTATGCTGCTTAGCTAAACAAGTTTTTATGATACATAGTTGCCATCTAGAGCAGGGCATTTAGCCTCACACTACATCTCAGATCATGCTTCACATTCATGTATTGGCTATTTTCATACTTGATGCTAAACAGTCTTTTTAAAAAAATACTATAGAAAAATATATAGTGTGCATGTGACTAGGAAAACAGTTTTGTTACCCAAAGAAAAATGGTATTCTTAAGTGAAAGCCTGCACTGAAAGGCAATAAGCAGCAGTATTTAAGCTTTTTTTGTTGATTAATACTGTTATGATTTAGAAGAAGTGTGCATGTTATAGTATGATTGACATAGATTATGATTCATACCAGGGAAGCTATGAGAGGGGAAGTGATCAGAAGGAAATAGTAAAGTTGGAAATGATGAGGGACACTATTTGTTTTAGTTGGTCCAGGACAGTCATGGTTTTACATTTGTTGTCTCTGGATAATTGTTATTAATATGTGCTTTTCCTCTCAAAAGTATTCTAGTTTTAATAATACACTATCTGGCCATCTTAGAAGTGATGCAAGCATGGTACATATTATCAGTGCATTTTAAAGTGAACTACTTATAATAGTTAACACTTTTATGTGCCAAACACTGTGCTAAGCAGTTTGTGAGCATTGTCCTATGTCATCCTCCCAATAATCTATGAGGCAGTTAGTATTGTAGTCCCCATTGTAGAGATGAAGAAGCTCAAGTTTATGTTTATGGATGTTCAGGAACTTGCCCAAGGTCACTCAGTAGCTAAGTTTCTAATTCAGGCTGTCTTGTTTCAGAGGTCACATATAAAATCACCGTGCATTATTTATTTTCTCTCCACTTTAAAAAAAACTCATAAGACATCTGAAAGAAATTTAATTCCGATAGGCTATAAAATGTATAGGATGGAAAACAGAAGATTATCAAGCATATACTAGCGCAAAAAACTTGAAAACTTTTCATAAGATTTTCACAAGAGGCAGACTTACTTCTGTTTCAAAAAATATTATTGAAAATATGTCAGAAAGGCATGCTACAGGAGGAATGATTCCACTCCCAAAGTATTATAAACTCCTTAATTTTGGTTCCTGCATGTATTGCCTCTTTTGAACCCAAGTGTCCTTTTCCCACACTCTTGGTACCCTAACCTCCTGCCCTCTCCCTATCAAGGGGCTAAGATGGAAGTGAAAATAGGGAAGTCAATCCTTACTAAAACTACATGTTATAATGCCTTTTGATCTAGTTGCTCTAATGCTTCTAGACTTTTAAAAACTCTAGCTCTGTTCTAGATTAATTTTCCCCTAATGATACTGTGACAAAGACTTTGGTTTTAGATAACCAATTCTTCACTAGGTTTTGAGAAAGAAAGAAAAGAAGAATGATCATCTGGAATGTCCCTTTGCCCTCTACATATTTTCTTTCACAGTGCCTCTGCATAGCTGCCTGGCTGATATAGGGAAGTGACAGGGGAACCCTTTTTAAGACAGTAGATAGGCTCTTTGCGGAGACTTTTTTTTTTTTCCTTGATGAATGCTGTGTGCATTCCCTGGAATGCTTAAGACCTTAAGACTTTCCTTCAGATATGTGGCTTATCTGTAGCATCTCCTCTCGTGAGCCCAGCCACTGGGAAGGGGAATCCCAAAGAAAGAATTCCCTGCCTTTCACAGAGAATTATTTAGAGAATCACAATGGGGAAGATGAAGCTAGAGTATCAACAAATTTATTAGCTTTCTCTCTAAGGTGGTTCTGGAGTTCGGTTAATTATTACGGAATCACAGTTAGGCAGGCTTCTTGAAGGTGGGGCTTTAGTTTTCTTTTTAATCATAATTGAAATGTTAAGTCCATCTTAGTTGAACTGTGAGAGGATTTTCAAAGGAAATTAATCTATAAAGCACAGAACAAGAATGCCTTATAATAAAAGAACAAATGGAATATTTGGCTACATCTGTATGTGCTGCTCATATGATTTAGAACTAAATAAGTCAGTGATGAATAACAAAGATGAATCATTATTTCTGATTACTGAATACGCTGGTCATATATATCTGTCATTTCACCCTTCTGTATGAGCACAGACACCGAATTCCTGCTGAAGATACTTTAAAAGGCATCATTAAAGAAACATTTGTCAAAATGCATAATATTGGTAAGTGTATCCTGGCTTCCAGCCGCTTTGGTTCAGTGCTTTGGGGCTCATTCTTGCAGTACACGTAGTACTTACTTAACAATCAAATGAGAGGCACTTTATTATCTGTATTTCTCTTCACATATTTCCCCAAAGAATGGAACCATATTTCCCTCTCCTACCTTTTCAGCATCAGCATATGCTGTCTCTATATTCCCTCCCATCAAAAGCTGCTTTTGGGAAGCAATCTGATGAATTAGGTATAAATGACTAATAAGGCTTAAATATTACCTTTCCCAGGATTATGGCTTTGTGCTAGAGAAATAAAAGACTCAAAGGGATTAACTCCCGCAGCAAAATTTTAGGTGAGTTGGAGGAGGGGCTTTGGTTATAAAAACTTTTCCAGCCTAAATGGGAATTGGCCAGATTGGACCCCAGTGGGAGTTTAAGTAGGGATGGGAAAAAAGTTAGGGCCCAGGCAGGTCCTAACCTAGGGACTGGTCTGGTCCCATTAAGTTTGGGGAGGGGTGGTGGCAGTTAGGCTTACGTACATCTGTGATGCCACATTTAAAGGAATCTTGAACTAACCTGGGACTAAATACAATACTGAAATTCCAGATTCTATCTGGTCTTATACTGGTATGGGAGATACTCCATCCTGGGATGCTTCAGTAGAGTGACCCTTTGAGTTCAGGGCTATGCTACTGAATTTGGTCAAACTCAAGCCAGGTGTTTGTTTTGTTTTTTTTCTGTTTAAGATTTCATTTATTTATTTGACAGAGACACAGGGAGAGACACAGTGAGAGGGGGAACACAGCAGAGAGAATGGGAGAGTGAGAAGCAGGCTTCCCATCAAGCAGGGATCCCAATGTTGGGCTATCCCAGAACCCTGGGATCATGACCTGAGCCCAAGACAGATGCTTAATGAGTGAGCCACCCAGGTGCTCCTCAAGCCGGTTTTTGAAAGGGGAGCAGGAAATCCTTCTTGTGAGATTAAAAATACCATAAACAATATACCAACTTTAGATTTTATACAATGGCTAAGATTCATATTCACATAAGATGGCTTAACTAGCTTGGTGTTACTATTACACCTGGTTGTCATTTCATTTCCTAGCTGTAGTTAAATGTTCTCTTACCTCCACTCCAGCACTGAGTAAACCTGAACACTTTGGTACTATTTGGGAGCCTTCAACTTCAGCTCTACCCTAAAGAACTACCTGTGTTAATTCCAGCAGTTCTGGAAGTAGTTAAAATGCTGTCACACTAACAGAATGTCTTGAACACCTTTGGAGTTATTTCAAGTGTTTTCACTAGCGTACAACTCACTTTGGTAAACAGTTCTTTGATGGACTTTATGAACTTCCTTTGGATACAAGCCAAAAATTATCTATAGGGCACACAGTTCTTTATTCAAACTTGGTAATAAATAATTATCTCTGGAACACAGACGGAAGAACTGAAGCAATGACTTCGGGGACACAGAGACTAATTACCATCATTGTACAGGGTTAAGCACAGCAGAGACTGGGGGCGGGGAATGGTTTCTTCCGTATCTATTACGTTCCTTGTCTGGTAAAACAAGGCCGTCTTGTCTGTTAACATATTTAAAGCAGTAACTGCAAAAAACTGTGCAATGTTATGGTTGAAGCGTTTTATGCCATATGTGTTGATGGAATGCTTAAGAGTCTCTCTCCGCAATAAACGCAAACCCTGCCAGACTGAATTATTAGGGCCAGCGCAATTCAAGACTGCACCACCGAAACCGCTGGGGTTGGAAGCCTACGTCGCATTCCGAGTGTGGCCAATGCTTCCTCTAACAAAGGCACTATCTTGAGGCAATTTCGCGGGCCATTTTTCCCCCTCCCCGCGCCAGCTTTGTCTCCTCGCCGGTGTGAGGCTGAGACTTGGAGGAGCCCCAGCTGCTTTGCTGCGCGAGCAAGCTCCGAGCGAGGGCCGGCGTGGGAAGCTTCACAGAGCCGCCGCTGTGGTTTCCTGCAAAGCGAGCGTGCCATTAGAGGAAGTTGGAGTGCTGCAGTTGAGATACCTGCAGCCTTAAAATCGGGGCTGCACTTGAACCCTTTGCACCGATTTCTGTCTTAGAGAGAAGCTCAGTCGGCCGGGACGTAAGAGGCTTGGGGGCGCTCAGTCTCCCGGGCTGGGCGCAAAGGAGTCGGGGTCCGCATCGTTAGCGTCCTCTACCTCGGGCGGCTGGGGGGCTGCAGGCAGGCCTCCCCCGGCCTAGGCCTGAGCGGGCCTAACGCCGCGTCTAGCACGCGAACCCCCGCCGCCGTCCCCTCCCCCCCCCCGACCCCGGGTCCGCCACCGCCCCCTACCGCCCCCCACCGCCCCCCACCGCCCCCAGCCGCCACCGCGGACGTCTGCCCGCGCCGCCCCCGCGCGCAGTGACTGGCTCACGCCGGCCTCCGGCCCTGCTGTTGGCGGTTGGGGAGAAGCCGGCGGGAGGCCGCCCCGCCCCCGCCTCCGCCGCGGAGGAGCGGCGCGCAGTCTCTTCCCCCTCACCAGCGGGGCGGTGGCGCTGTTGCTGCCGCGGCCTGAGAGGCAGTAACTCCCCTCCGCCCCTGCTCCCTTCCTCCTCCTTTCTCTCCTCTCCCTCCCTCCCCTCCCCACCCCTCCCCTCGCAGTCTCTCGCTCGAGTGAATGTGGCGCGGCGGCGCGGGACGCAGCCTCGGCCCCTGCCGCGGCCCCGCAAGCTCGTGAGGAGACCCAGCCGCCGCCTGCCCCCACCCGCTGGGCTTCCCGGGGGAGCCACCGCCGCCTGGGAAGAAGAACGAGGAGGGGAGCGAAGGGACGGCGGCGGGAAAACGGGAGAGGGAGAAGAGGGTTCGAGGGCGACTGGGCAAGGCGGAGAGGGACGGACGGAAGAACGGACGGCCCGACGGACTGCCCGGGGAGGGGGCCGCCATCGAGCTTGCCCGGCCCCTCGGCTCCGGCCCGGGGCGGCCGCGGCGGCGGCGCGGGCGAAGGGCGCGGCAGGCGCTATCGAGACAATAACCCCGCCGCCCGGCTCTGGGGGCGGCGGCGAGGAGGAGCTGGCGGCCTAGCGCGGCCGAGGCTCGCCCAGCGCCCCGGCGGCATCTTGGTCCCCGCCGGCCGGCCTCCGCCGCCGTCGGGTGTGCGGGGCGCGCCGGGCGCCCGGAGCTCGAGGCTCTCCGCGGACGCCCCCTGCCCTCCCCCTCCCCGGTGCGCGCGGAGCTGGTTTTCCGGGTTCCCCTGGACCGAGCTGGATCCTGCTTCTGCGCCAAGGCAGGAAGTGAGTTTCGCACGGTAATTCCGGGCGGTGTCACGAGTGAAAAGTTTTTTTTCGGCGGAGATCCTAGTTGGGGCTGGGAAACTCCTGTCTTAAGTTGAGACCAGGAAACCAGCCCTCTTCCCAACCCCCTACGCCGAACCACCTACTCGTCCTACTGCGGGAGGCCACTCCACATCCGCTCTCACTGGAGAGAGAAATTCGGCTGGATCCAAAGTGACTAATGAAGGGAAGGAAATCATGTCTGGCGAAGCCTTGAAAGAGCTACCCTGAGACACTGCCCGACCGAAAGGTAATTTTCTCCACAAGTGAAGAGCTCTTGGGCCGGGAAGGAGAGGTACTTCAGGTTTTCTCACTTTTCCCCCACTTGCTCTAGATTAATCTTTCGTAGTGTCGAAGTGGATAGTCTTTCAATTGCTAAATAGTAAGTAGAACTGATTTTTTCCCCCTTCTACCATCTGGACTGTGGTTACTTTAGAAGAGGTTGTAAGAATGCGGTGAGACGAAAAGTTTAAAGCAATCGGAAGAAAGAGTGCCTTTGTTCAGCACTAGGTCCAGAAGTTTTAGTTTCCTAAAATATATACAATGTATATATTTTATTTATTAAGTTATCGAACCTGGCAACTCCGGTTTTGGAAAAAAGTTAGGTCGCTGCAGCGAGGGATTTACTGTTGTTGAGATGGCTGCCACATTTGTTTATACTGTTGCCGATTATTTGACTTTTGCGTGAATTGTATATAGAGGTTTTGTTTTGTTTTTAGTTGCAGCCCTTAGAAACGTATTTGGTTGGATTTTATAAACAAACTTTGCCATACTTAGTCTTTTTTTAAGGTGGGAGATGTATTTCTTCAGTAGCTGGCTCCTTTTCGGACGTTTACAATCTCAATGATACTTGTTTGGTTAATCGAAAGGAAGGAAGTATCTGCTTAATTTTTCTTGTAAGTGACCTAGGAAGGAGAAGGAGAAAGTATTATGGGTAAAGAGTTGTAATTAAAAAACAAAAACAAATACACCCTAAGTAGTCTGATCTTTTAGGACTCCTCCGTAGTTAAGAACAGAATATATAAAGGAAAGTAAAACGCTTAAAACGATTTTTATGGAGGTCTTATTGATTATAATAAACATCAGTTTTCTTACTTTAGTACTTTATTAACATTTTTGTATTGGTCCAAATGTTTTGGCTGGTTCTGTTTAGTAAGTGATAGGTGCCTAACCTGGTGGCAGGAAATTAGTGAAACATGGGAGACATTCCACCGGTCAGAGTTATAAACACTTCTGAACCAATCGGTAGTCCTTAAAGAAAAAAACTAGTTTGTTCACAACAAACACAAACGGCTTTTTGATTGGTGTTTTATTTATTATTATTTTTAAAAGATTTTATTTATTTATTTGACAGAGAGATCACAAGTAGGCAGAGAGGCAGGCAGAGAGAGGGGGAAGCAGGCTCCCGCTGAGCAGAGAGCCAGATTCGGGGCTCAATCCCAGAGATCATGACCTGAGTTGAAGGCGGAGGTTTAACCCAGTGAGCCACCCAGGCTCCCCTGGTTGTTTTAGTATGTCTTATTTTTTTTTTTCCCCTTATACTGTGGTAAAGGAGGTGAAACATAATACCGTGCTTTGGAATAAATATTAAATGAGTATGGCATCCTGTTGATAGGTGTATCTTAACTGTAAATTAATATTTAGTTTGCTCATGCTACTCCATGAAAAATAGTTGACATTCTTTAGTTGAAAAAAAAGATAGCTTTTGAAGAGCAGGACCAAATTATTTCACAGCTTGTTTATTATGTTAAGTACATTTCCAAAATGGGAGTCTCTTAACTATTATTGTATATTGTTTTGACTTTTTTTCCCCTCAGAGTGTAGTCTCTGAAGGTCGTTTTTAAAAATTTATCATTTATTTATTTGTGTTGGTAAGGTGGTGAACCATCAAGTCATTCCTGTTAAGTCAGAATAGCTTTATGAAGGAATTTAAAAATCTATAAGTGATCTGCTTTATGATTTGGGACATAATATTAAGCAACGAAAGAGGTTATTCTTGGGCATCGGTAGGAGCAGAACAAAATAAGTGGCATTGAACTTCAGTTTCCTTATATGGCTTCTACTTGGCCTCAGAGCAACAGAGCCTTAATAGAGCAAGTCCTTTGTAGAAAATTATCACTCTGAAGATGTTTCTCTGCATTAGTAAATTTTACAAGTGAGAAGTATTGTAGCACTTGAAAGTGACTGCTTAAATCCGTTTTTAGATAAAATTCTTGATTTTTTTTTTTAATTTTGAGCATCAGTAGTATGTTTAGATGCAGAGAGCACACTTTAAAAATGTGAAATGTTCACCCTTGTAGAACCTTGGATTCCTTTTGTACCATCAAGACAAAATTCACTTTGTGGTTTATCTAGAATTCTCTTACTTCAGTACTGAATTAATGTAATGAATTTCAGGCCTTATACTATTGTCAAACTATACATATTTTCAAGCCTTGTTTAAAATGTGACCTTAGGGTTTGAAAAGAGGTTACAGAAAGATGGTAAACAGTTGAAATATCCAAGTGGCTTTACATTTTGGATATTCTTCTTAGTATTCTTCTTCTATACTTCTTAGTCTCGTATGGGTTTTCTTAGATTAAATTGGTAAATCTGGAGTACTTCTAAACCTTTTGTTTACATTGCGCAAAGTACTATTTAGTGGCACTATTTATGGAAAGTACTTAGGAGTTTTCAATAGCGATAAACTTAATCAACTAATTAATTCAAATATTACGTTATAAAGTTCACTTGTTTCATATCAAGCTTTTGCAAACTTCTCATGTCTGAAAAGCTTACAGTGGTTCAAATATGGAAACCAGCTTTTTATTGCATCTTATTTCTTAATGAAGTGGTAGCTGTAGTTAGAGACATTTTACATATATCATTGGTAAATTTCTAAATTCACTTCTTTTAGAGATGCTAATATTGTACTCTTGGTAGTAAACAATACCTTACTTTAAGAAACACTTAAAAATTTCAGAAAATTATGTGCATCTTTCAGCATTTATTTTAAATAATTTCTCATAGATAACATAATTTAGACTTAACGCTGTTTTGGCTAGGAATAGATTATGGCAGTGTTCATAAAGTATTTGGGTTTATGCAGAATATTAATGATGCTGGATAGCAAAGTAATTCTCTTTTTTGAGTGCTGCTTAGCTAGATTCTTTTTAAACACTTTGTTGCTTGCATTTTTGTTTTGACTTTCCTTTGCCTATTTCCCTATTAGATGCTTTGGGGGGGGAGGTGGTGGTAAGAACACCTGTGTTGTAAATTCTAAAGAGGTCTTTATCTTTTCCTTTCTTGACAACATAAATTGTACTTGTGCAAAATAGATTTTTCAGTTTTTGCATGCAGGCTGTTTGCTCATGCCATAGAAACGAATACGTGAATTATACTTTACAGTACATACTTCTGAATTTTGTAAGGAAAGAACTCAGCACTTCTGCCTCCAAGTTTTCTTTGACTAGACATTTTTTTGTTTCTTTCTTGGTGCCTCTCATAACTAACTCTTGAACCATACTACACCCATTTTTCAGATTTACCTTTAGTTTTCTCCTCTGTCTTAGGTTTCCTAGTTGTAAAATAGGAATCTAGCTATTATTATGCTTTGTCTTCTCATTTCTTTAGCTTCCTATTTTTTGTAGTTTGCTTCATTTACTTCCTCTGTTTTCTCCATGTTCAGCTATTTCTTGATTATGTGTTGCTCTTTCCCTCTTTTCTAAACTTTGAGTCCATGCTCATCACCTAAAAAAACTGTTCACAACGTGAATAGAAAAAATTTATTTGCCCCATTTAATTGTAAATATCACTTTTGCATTACCACTCAGTTTACATGCCAGTATTATAACCAGATACTCATAATAGATTTTTTAATTTATGTTTCCTGAACTCTTTTTTTTTTTTTTTTTTTTAATATCCACAGAATTACCTCTGTTAAGATCAGGTTGTTATGTACTCCTTTATTAAGACACTGTAAACCCCTATACCTTTTTGTTTCATTATGCTTTTGGCTTTTTAAAATATATAAGCTTGGGCGCCTGGGTGGCTCAGTCATTAAGCAGCTGCCTTTGGCCCAGGTCATGATCCCAGGATTCTGGGATCAAGTCCCACATCCGGCTTCCTGCTCAGCAGAGAGCCCGCTTCTCCCTCTCCCTCTGCCTGCCGCTCTGCCTACTTGTGCTCTCTATCTCCCTGTTAAATAAATAAATAAATAAATAAAATCTTAAAACACACACACAAACACACAAGCTTATATCTCTGTATTTTTCTTCTCCATTTGTCCCTTTCCTTTCTGTCCTATCCCTCAGGTCAGATGTCTTTTCTCTCAGTGTCCCTAAAATTTCAAAATTCCCTTCCTTTGTTTGTTTTTATAAAATAAGCATGGTGGAATTCTGTCACTCACTTTATTCTTGTCACTGGAATTTTTGTTTCAGGTACCACTGGGTGAAGGCCTTGTCAGGCTTTATAAATGGTAGTATGTAAGACAGTAGAAAAGATTATCTAAAAATTAAGTTAATAAAAGAAGACTATTTATCTGAAGAATACCTGTGATTTTAGGTATATAGAATGTAGTAGAAAAAGTAGGAAATAATTTTAAAAAGTAATCAAAATGGGTGTAATAACATCTGGGGGCATCAGTTCTATGGCCATCCTTATTCAGAGCCCATTTACTTTTGTACATAGTGAGTGGTTTCCTGGCTTGTTGCTTTATTAGAATGGGTGAGAAAGGGCTATGGCAACATCCTTAAGTTCCTCAGAGGGAATAGGAAAATGGAAAGAAGACTGAATAACTTAGGAAGCAGAATAGTCTTTGACAACTTGCTTTGGGACAGTGTGCCTTATACAGTTCATTTGTCCTTAGGAGAATTCACTCTATTTTTTTAAAAATTTTTAAAAAGAGTTTATTTATTTATTAGAGAGAGAGATCACAAGTAGGCAGAGAGACAGGCAGAGAAAGAAAGAGGGAAGCAGGCTCCCCGCTAAGCAGAGAGCCTGATGCAGGACTCGATCCCAGGACCCTGAGATCATGACTTGAGCCGAAGGCAGAGGCTTAACCCACTGAGCCACCAAGGTGCCCAGAGAATTCACTCTATTATAGCACAGTATAATTATAAGTAATAGTAGTAGACCTAAGGCAACTATTCCAAATTTTTTGGTCTTAGGATCCCTTTATACTCTTAAAATTACTAAGAAGTCCCATAAAGCTTTGTTTTATGTGGGTTATATTTACTTTATTTCCCATATTAGAAATTCCTAAATATCAATTAATTTGTTTAAAAAAACATAAATATGGGGTGCTTGGGTGGCTTAGTTGGTAAGGCGTCTGCTTTCGTCTCAGGTTGTGATCCCAGGGTCCTGTGATCGAGCTTCTGGCTCCTGCTCAGTGGGGAGCACCTGCTTCTCCCTCTCCCTCTGTCCCCCTCTTGTGCATGTGCATGCATGCACATACTCTCTCAAATAAATAAAATCTTTAGAAAGAATAAATAACATAAATCATAGTATGTTATCATGATATTGATGTACTAAAACAATAAGAACAATTTTTCAAAACAAATGGTAGCAGAATGAGGGACATTGTCAAATATTTTTGCAAGTCTATGTCTAAGTCTAGAAACAGCTTGGTTCTCACATCTACTTTTATATTTAGTCTGTAGTAAGTTGTTTTGGTTGAAATATATGAAGAAAATCCAGGATTATACGGAGAAGTGATTGGAAAAGGAAGGAGTATTTTCAGCATTTTTTTTTTTATTAATGGTGGGTGGTATTCCTTGATACCACACCAAAAAAAATTTTTTTATAAAGATTTTATTTATTTGTCAGAGAGAGAGCACACAGGAAGGGGGAGCAGCAGCAGAGGCAGAGGGAGGAGACTCCCCATTGAGCAAGGAACTCAATATGAGACTCCATCCTA